ATAAGAGTTGGGCACATAAGATGAAAAGGTATGGAGATAATGGGCATCCTTGACGGAACCCACTATGAGCATCAATCCAATTAGAATTCTTCCCATTGATGATAATGGAAAAACTAACATCTACCACACATTCCATAAGAAGTTTAGAAAAAACAATAGGAAAGCCATACCATTCAAGAACATACCAAAGAGAAGTCCAACTCATGCTATCATAAGCTTGCTCCATGTCAAGTTTAATAGCCATCAAACCCTTCTTATTCTTTGAGATTTTGAATTTGTGAAACACCTCTTGGGCCAAAAGACAATGATCTGCAATAGATCTACCATGAAGAAATGCCACCTGTTCTTCTAAAATCAACTTAGAAATAAACCAACATTGTATCCACAATCTTGTAGTTGGTTTGACAAAGGCTAATCGGCCTATAATTTGATGGAGTCAAAGGACTTTTAATTTTAGGAATCAAAACAATCAACGTCTTCTTCCACTCCTTATGCATATGATAGGAATTAAAAAAACTGTTTACAGCCTTCCAAAGAGTCTCACCTACTATGCTCCATTAGCTTTTGTAGAATGAGTAAGTAACCCCATCTAGTCCAGGAGATTTGTTTTTGTCTTGCTGAAAAACAGAGTTTTGTAGCTCCAAAACAGAAAAATCTGCACTGAGAATCGTGATATCTTCCTCAGAAATTTTCTGAGAATAAAAAACTACAGGCCAATCCGAGGTAATGAAATCCCTATGCTTCCATTTTTTTCCAAAAAAACTGGTAAAAACTCTTTCAATTTGTTCATCTTCATCATATACATTGTTTAGTTCATCTCTGATTTGATTTATTATGTTCACTGTTCTTCTAGCCGTGGCATAACAATGAAACAAATTGGAATTAGTATCTCCTTCTTCATGCCACCTAACCTTAGCCCTTTGATTCCACCAAGTGGAGAGCCTCTTCAATGTGACATTAAGTTCATGTACTTTACTTCTTAAAGCCACCAGGTCATCACCCGACCAATTTACTCCCAGTGCTTCTTTATTTTGAAGTTCCAGTATTTCTTGTTTCAACTTTTCCTTCAACGCATTTAAATTCCTGCATTTGTTCTTATTCCAAAAGAATAGAGCTTTAAGAGTGCGATTGAGTTTTCTTTGCAGGATCACAGCTTCATCACCCGAGTCCTTGTTCCAAGAGTGAAAAACAATACTCTTGGATGCTGGATAAGACCTCCAAGTGTCTTCAAATATGATATTCTTTGATTTGAACTGCACCTTTTCATCCATTTTAAGAACAATTGGACAATGGTCCGACGCCAATCTCATAAGATGTCTAGTAACTGATACCGGAATTTTCTGAATAGCAATAGAATTAGCCAAACACCTGTCTAATCTCTCCCAGATACGAGAGTTCCCCTCCTTGTTGTTACACCAGGTGAATCTAGTTCCCACAAATCCTATATCATGAAAATCAGCATTCATCATGAAACCTTTCATCTCCCTAGGCCCCTTAGAGAATAAGAATCTCTTTCCACCTCTCTTATCTTCTTTGTTGATAATGCAATTGAAATCTCCTCCTATAATAGAAGGAATGTCATTTATCAAATGCTTTTCCAATTGTTTCCAAAGTTCACTTCTCTCCTTGCAGCATCTACTACCATACACCGTAGCAATTCTCCAAGTTCCTAGAGAAGGAACCAAAAGATTGCCAATAACCACCTGAGAAGTGGCTTCCAAAACATTAAAAGACACCATCTTGCTATTCCACATAACAAGAATGCCACCAGAAATACCAACAGCAGGATAATGAAAGAATTCCCACTCACTGCCAATAAGATAATCAATCTCCTTTCTATTAATGCTAGATAACTTTGTCTCCATAAGTCCAACAAAAAAAAAACTCCATGTTCCTTAACAACTTTCAAATACAAGGAAGCCTCCCTTTTTCTTGCTCCCCTGCAATTCCAAAATAAAATGGAAGACATTTCAAAAAAGTAAAGATCTCCCCCCACTATTGGGATTCGACCTTCCAACCTTTTTCTTCTTCTTGTGATCAATTTCAACCGGTCCTAAGGATCTCAATTCCTTAGCTAACTTGACCTTGGCCAAACTAGTTTGAGAGCCCAAAGCATTACACTTTTCTTCAACAGCTGTAACAACATCATTTTTATCCTCGGCTATATCTTCTTCAGCAATTAACTCTTTATTTTCATCCACACCTTTCTCAGACAATGCAGCAAATCTGTTGTTTGTGGTTGTCTCACATTTCTCAGCAACCACAGTAGAAACCACCATATTAATAGGAGATTGAACTGGAGTCTTCTCAGCTAATTCTGCATGTTCTTTAATCTTATTCCTGCCCTTCTCATTCTCATTTGTCATAGTTTCAGCTGAAACCACCTGATGATTACTGGTAACTCTATTCTCCTCAATATTTCCTTTCACATTTCCTCTTCCTGCCATCACATTCCTCCTGAATCTTCTATTTTTGAATTGGACTTGAATCCAAGGTCCATATTCAGTATTGGTTATTGAATTATTACCTTCAACATCTGCCTTTAATTTTTAGCCCGTAGCTTTGTCAGCCATCTTCTTAGATTGATCCTGGATACCAATCTTCACATCATCAGGACATATTTTGGATTCATGCCCCACTTTGCCACATTGGTAGCAAAGTAAATCAACTTTTTCATACTCCACCCTTTGAAAAAATCTTCTAGCACTTTCTTCCACCCAAACTCCATTTGGCAGTTTCTTCTCCAAGTCAATCTTGACGTAAACACGAGCAAATTCTCGTTTACTCCAGCAAAACGTGTTACCATCAAGGTATAATGGTGATCCAAGACATCAGGCAATTTTAGCAATACTGTCTTCATCCCAACAATACAGAGGTAAGCACGGTAATATGATCCAAATTGGAGCCGAAATCCCCTTAAAAGAATTCGGATCAAACTCAGGCGTCCACTTGTCCATCCCCATAATGCACCCATTCACATACCATGGTCCTCCGTTCAAAATTTCATCCACCACCTCGCTCGACTTGAATGAACACAGAATCCAGTTCATCCCTAATGACGTCAAGTGGAAACCACCATACTTGCTCCATTGTCTCCTTAGTTCTACACTACTCACCGGGAATGTCACATTATTCCCCAGAACTTTAATCACAATGGAATTTTTCAGGATTCTTGAATTCTCTGCCTCCTTATCAGCATTTAATCTGACAACAACTCCATCTTCAGAGAAATTAATTTGTTCTTTGTTGAATGAAATTTTAATAGGGTTAATTTTCATCCAAGCATCAGCCACTTCCCCGATGACATTACGTTCAGAGTAATCACCATTCTTATTAATAAGATTTACATCATTCAACTGATTCATAGAGTGAGCCACCAAATTATCATTCTTCTGTCCTACTACAGGATTTATTTCGTTTTCAAAAGTCCGTCCACCAAACGAGCCAAGAATGCCGGAATAACTCTTCACCCTCAAACTAATATTATTTGAAGCCGAGATATCAAATTTACCAAGGTCTGGATTACTCAGAAAATCACCTTCTTTCTGGATTTCACAAACATCTTCTATAACTTTCTTCCCCTTACCTTCAACATATTCTTGACGACGCACCGGAGCGACTCCTTCTCTAATAACAACACCAAGCGATCCTTTGCCAATGACCCTTGGAGAACCAGATGGCCGTAGATCAGCCATTACCACCAGCGATCACCCGCCGACGATCATCCGATGATCGTTCGACGCCAGAAATCCAATCGCGGAAAGCCCGCGAAAAACGAATTCGAAACACAGAGGTTTCTCTCTCTAGAAAACGCACCAGAGTTTTTCTCTCTAGAAAGAATCAGGAGTTATCCAACCCAACTGAGTTACACACTTAAAATTATGTTTGGGACGACTTTTTTACCGCTTATTAAAATAATTTTTTAGTTAAAAAAAGTTTATATAAAATTTATTAAAAAAAAAGGCTATGACAAATAAAGCTCAAATCTCCATCAAACAACCAAAGCAAGAAAGAAAAAAAGGCCAAAAAGGGCTGTGAGTGGCATAGCCAAAATCATCGGCGTAAATAACGCGAAACATTATTAGATATTTGACCTTACGAGATGAGTTGGCACTCATTTCCTTTTTGGAGCCTCTTCGACGATGGGCCTACCTCCACATGGTGGGGCACGGCCAAAGCGTCGGGCCAACGCAGCCTCCTCCTCGCCTTTATAAACTCTCCGACGCCGCTCTTTCTTCTACCTAGCTGCAGTAGATCTGATCGACGCCGGCCTCTCAGGCAAAGACTAAAGAGACAAAGGTAAATGGCCGGCCTTGGTGTTTGCTTACGGGTTCTGGCGGCTATGGCGGCGGTGGTGCTCTGTTGTGCTGCGTCTTCGTCAGCGCAGGAAACAGAGCTGGTGATCTCGCCGGCGCCCGCACCTGAGCCGCTCACGGGGACAGCCGCGGGGATGGAAATGCCGGTCTGCTTTGCGTTTGGCTTCGCGCTGTTTGTGCTTTTGCTTAATCACAAGCTTTATGTTTAGGTTATGTGTTGGAAGTTGAGAGTTGATAGTAATTTGTTCTGTGTGGCTATCATTTGTGGTCTTATTGTGTCTTGTTATGTAGTATGATACAGTGTTTTCGCGTTCTATAAAGCGATTATTGATGTTCAAGTTCTGCGTTTTTTTTTTATTTAAATATTTACTGCAGACTGCAGTGGCACAATAATTGAATAATATTATTTCTCTAAATTTCAATTAGATATATTGTAATATATTAAACATATTAAGAAAATTATTTCAAATGAAATATTATAGAGAGTTCAGAGCTGTACTAATGAATATATCTTATATTTTCCTTGCATGCAATGTTGTTTGTTTCTGCTTTCTTGTGAGCAGGAAGCGCTTCACTAGAACAACATTGGCTATCAGAGAGATACGCTGAGTGCTTCAGTTGCTTTGGGCATTCGTTACATCAAAGCTGCAAAGTAGCAGAATACAACTTGAGATCTGTTTGGGAAAACTTTCTTAGACTTTGTTTAGGAAGATTTTTTTTATTGGTTTTTAAAATAATTTTTAAATTAAAAATTTTTATGTCATAAAAATGCTTTAAAAAACAATGAAAAATTATCCCAAAAACCTTTTAAAGCTAGCTTATGATCACAACTAGGGGTGCAAATGAATCAAGTCGATCTTAAGTTGGGGTGTGTTCGAGTCGAGCTCAACTGTCTAATATCGAGCTAGAGCTCGAACTCAATTCGAGCTTGACTCGACGAGAGAAAAGAGAGCTTGTCAAGTTGTTCATCGAGCAACAGTTTGAGTCGTTTTCGCTAGTGTATGTCGCCTTCGCCAGCATCGTCGTCCGTCGCCAGCGTAATTGTCCTTCGCCAACATCGTCAACATCATCGTTTGTCGCCAACATCAGTCGTTACAGTTAGGCCACCAGTGTTAGTTGTGAGACTCCCGCCGACAATCTCAATTGCAATTTCAATTTCCCTCATACGTGAATTCATGTTCCCACTGTACTCGCGTTCCGCGAGATGTTCAACGAGCTTGCAAGTTAAACTGAGGGTTGTTCAATCTCAAACTTGATAATCTGTCGAGCTCGACTTGCGAGCGTGACAAAATCGACTCGTCGAACCTATTTCCGAGTCGAGCTCGAGTCAGCACATGAGTTGATTTGACTAGGTTGCACTCCTAATCACAACATACACCAGGTCCAGGATAGCGTGTACGTTTATGCAGTTACAGCAGATACGCCAAATACCAATAATAAAACAACTCAATCATTTATAAGTTCATTTGAAATGACTTTTTTAAAACCTCGTTTTACATAATCTTATTTTGTTATATATATATATATATATATATATATATATATGAAAATTTTTTAAGTGAATCTACTAGAATGATAACTGTAGTAAATTTATTATTTAATTTTTCGTAAGAGAAAAAAACTATAATAATCAGAATAATTTTTTCAATATTTATTTTTCTCATAATAATTTTATGTTCTCCCAACTTTCTTGAAACATCGTTATACATACAAAGTGGTGGATATAGAATATTTATCAGAGATAAGAGAGACGAAAAGAAAGGAGGTACTGCCTTAGAGAAATCAAAGTTTTTGAGAGAAAAAAAAAATAGTTGTTTTAGCTAGAACATAGACCTTTATCCCCGGTTCTAATCAGAGCCATGACGAGTGCCTCCTCTAGGAGAACAACCGTCCGATTTATTGATCTACTAATCAGTAAATCGGACGATTATGCCGTTCAGATGCCGCACATAATAATTTCTTCTCTTCGAGACAAAGAAGCACTCAAATAAATGGTAGATTTATTAACGACAAGTTGGAACTTAGAAAATTTACCTAATAGCAAGCCATAAAGAGCAAAACTGCGAAACTGGTTCAGATGGAACTACATTCAAAAGGACACGGCTTCTAAGCTTTTAAGGATCTGGTGGGCTAAAGAAAAAGGATTCAGAAAACAAATTATGTGGGAAACAAAAAAGGTTCAACATTTCTTTATCAACCATGTGCTTTGCCTTTGTGATGACCTATCACAGCAACAAGGTCAAAAAGACAACACATGCAAAGTCCAACGAGCTGTTTATACCTAGGATCTTAGGAGAATTTGTCAGCTCAAGACACCTACAAGGACAGCCCCCACTAAGTCCCAATAGATTATTAAGTGCGAAATCTGGACATAGAGAATCGTTTGGTTTTATGATTGTAAACAGTAAAAGGGCAACGGTGAACAGTAACTATGCTTTTCCTGCTCACAGTCACAAAACCGAACGATTTTCTGAGCCCGAACTAATAATCTCACTCATTTGTGACAACTTATTTAATAATCCTATGTTCCTAATTTCCGTAGCTTTCTG